ATATGTTGCTTAGAGTGCTTGGGACATACCCTCGTCTCACCGTTTGAAAGCCTTACAAAGTGCCCATGGCATTCGAAAAGCCTTAGCTGCGGCTGAATTACAATTGTTGTTGTTGTTTTTAATTCGTAACTTACAATAATTCCTAATTCGTTTTGTCCCCTAACATCTGGCAGTTCTGTCTCCGGCAGGGAGTACGACGTGTAAGACTTCTGACCTAGGTGCGTTACCGCGCTTATCTTGGAATTAATTTCTAGACTCCAGAAGAAGTTAGCCCATTCACAGCTAATTTATCTAGATCGTTTTGTAGTACCAACCTATCATTGTTACTGTTTACGGTTTTCCATATCTTAATATCATCCGCAAATAGGAACACATTGCAGAGAAATGAACAAGAAGTTAAACAAAGATATCGCGTTTCGACGATTTCATACTCAAAAGTAGCTATACAATAGCATTTGTGCGCATAAGTTTACATAGATACAATTATCCTTTTTATTTAATTCCACATAATCACGAAGGCGGTAATCATTGTCAACCTGATATGAGTGTTTAAATGTGCGAATAAAGATTCCAAGGGGCTTAAAAACAAAATTGTACAAGATATAAAAAACGAACACAAGTGTGAAGTGGAATAAGCATGGTAACAAACTGAAATCAAAAACAATCGAAGGAATGAAAGAATAAAAGACAAAAACTAAGGAACAAGATGATTTTGAACGAACAATTGTGGTTTCAATAAATTCTTCTTCAAGCCCTACATAGTTATAAATCCATGATTCTATTATAATATAAATAGCCATTAAAGGCATGTGAAAATTTTGTCGGAAACTGTGCATTGTAATTATTATTGTTTCCTTTAATTCCTAGAGGAATATAGGGCTCCAGTCAAACGTCTCCATTGCGTTCGGTCCTCTGCTAAGGTTTTCACCTGGCTCCAAGTCTGCCTATATGCTTTCATCTCCTCTTCTCATGACCTCCTCCAAGTCACCCTTGCACTGACGACCAACTCGTCGCTTCTCTTTCGGGTTCCACTCGAGCAATGGCTTGTCTAGTGATGTCACTTGATGGTTTTCTCTGAGTATGTCCTCCAACCCATCTCCATTTCTTCCTGCTTATTTATTGCACAATCGGTTCCTGGTTTGTTTTCGCTCATAGCTAGAGATCCCTGTTGCTGATCTTTTCTGGCTGGTCATCTGACCTTGAGTAGTATTGAGCGAAGACAGCTGTCGATGAAGGTCTGTAGTTTGTTTGAGGTGCTCTGTGTGATCCCTACAGTAGAACTGACTGACTTCACATTTCAGTTGAAAATCCGAATCTTATTTTCATTTTCATGCTGAGTGCTGAGTACTGACCTCCATACAGACTTGAGAGTAATCAAAGTTTGCCTTTCTTTCCCGATCCTCACTTTGATATCCTCATCAGTCCCATCAGCCTGTAGTTGAAACGATGCTTCCTAGGTAGGTAGGTGGGTAGGTGAGGGAGGTTGCTTCACTCAGATTTCGCCCATTTATGTTGGCTGATTGTTGTCTGTTGTTGTTGGTGGTGGTGGTGTTGCCCAGGAATCTTCATCACCTCTGTTTTTTCTATGTTCACCTGAAGGGAAGGCCTATCTTCTCTGGATGCTTCTTGTGCCAACTTGTTACTTTTAACTTGTATATCTTCCAGTTTGTGGGAAATCAGACGTATATCACATCGGCAAAGTCCAGATCCTCCAAGTTTTTTGTGAGTATCATGTGTAGTAATAAAATAAAGATGTTAAATTGTGAACTGTAATCAAATACACAGGTTGATACATTATAAAGGTAATAATAGAGCAAATTGAAAACGAATATGAATGAGTATGTCTCTGTTGTCCTTATAGAGGAGGCCAGGGTAAAGAACGACGATGAATGTGATTCCTTTGCACAAGTACGTCAGGTTTTTTCTTATTAATCTCTATAACTAAGCGACGTAATAGTGTGCCTTTAGGCAAATTGTGCTCGATATGCAACCTTAAATGAATGACTGATCTATTTTGATGCGCTGTTCACTATCTACCTCCTAGATGAGACAAGGTGACACTCACTATTTATTGATTCGGCTACACTTTTTCCAAGCTGAAGCAGGAACCTGTTCACGAGCGCGTAAAGATAAATTCCTCTGAGTTTGGCGTATGAAACTAGCTCCACATTAGCCTTTGAACTTGTATACATCTGTCTATCTGTCTGTTTTCGAAATAGAACTTTTCCCCGATCCACACTAGTTCACGTCGCCACACTCCCTCCATGTAGCACACAAAGCAGAACAAGAAAGTAGAAGAAACGCATAATAGAGACAACAAACAGAGGTGTGAGACAAAGGAATAGTAATGACGAAGAACAATATAGTTTCATTGGAAATCATAGGTCATAAGGAGTGGATGCATCTGAGCCAGCCATTGAGAACGACTTTGAGCCATATCCCCAATTATTTCCAACCATTGGTTTTTACTGTTCCGAGGACCCCAACCAGTCAGGAAGCCTACACCTTCCTACGTGACTAGCTTAAACTAACTGTTGTAGATTTCATTGACTGATGAAGCCATGTTTTGGTTTGACCTCCGCTAGCTCTTTTCCAGCCTGACCGTATATCAGCTACGATTGGCCGTCGAGGAAGGCGATGACTAGGCGTGCATACGTAAAACATGTCCTAACCATCTCAATCGATGTAATTTCACAGCCTCGTCGATTGATTTCCCCTCCTTACCTATCACTCAACCGAAGCCTAACTTAAATATTTCTCACTCTACGATACCACTTAACACTTATGATCAAATACAGCTAGCCATCCTTCTCATGTCTTCCGCCCTCAATGGCCATGTCTCACAGCCATAAAGGAGGACGTAGCGGACTGATGAGCAGTACACACGCCCTTTGATCGATAGCCAGTCGGATATCACGTCTACACCAGAGACGGCGTAAGCTGGCATATGCGAAACTAACCCTCTGTATCCGTACTGAGATTTCCTCAGAGATCAACCCGTTGGAGCTGATGGTACTTCCCAAATAAGTGAAGCGGTCAACGTGTTCTACCACTTCACTCCTTATTTCTAAACTAGGAGTCAGTGTAGTCCAGTCCTGTAACATTACCTCACATTTGGCGTGAGCGAATCGCATGCATAACTTGTATACATACATTGTTGTGACTGTGTCAGTAACGTTCTGGTGGAAAAAAAAACTGATGTGTAGTAGTTTTACAGCATTTGAAAGTCCTTTCAACTGATCTGATCAACCTACGGCTTAATATGTATGTCACTGCATATATCACCTTTGTTGAACTGTACTCTCAAATGAAGCTTTTTCTTATTTGCCTCCGTATCACGCTTAGTCTTACCAGTTCTTTTGAAAATATACTTCTTTACAAAAACTGGTAGGGTAACCATTTTGTAGCAGGATATTTTTAAGATTTTCGATTTCATCTTTGATACAATCTTCAGTACATATGCGCCTGATTCTATGACTAAGACAACGAATGGCTATTTGTATATTATAATATTCATGAATTTATAACTTTAGACTCGAATTTACCAGTCCATGGGAATGTGGAGTTTGAGATAGCCTTCCTTTGGATACATAACTCCGACTTTTCGATGCGTATGACGAAGGTTTTTGTGATCAACTTAGAAACACACTAAACTGTCTTTGGTAGATTTTTGTTTACTCTGTAAATGACTCTGAATGATGAGTTACTTGAGATAGTGTGATAAATGTTATAAAAACTATTATCTCAAGTTGTTTCCATGCTTATCCTGTTCACATGTGTATTCGTTAGAAAAGAAAAACAACTTAATATATAACGCAAGTATTTTCTAATCCTGTGTAATTTTGTTTCTAAGTACCTTGTGATCTATATTGACACCTTCAGACTTTCCTATCAAGTTGGAAATTAACATCACCTTTAATCACCCCCTTCGTGATTATGTGGAATTTAATTATATCTGTGTTAACTTATGTTTGATAATATATGTCTGATTTCCCACAAACTGGAAGATATGCAAGTGAAAGGCAACAAGTTGGCAAAAGAAACAGCAAAGATAAGACTTCCCCTAAGGTGAACATAGAGAAAACAGAGGTAGATGATGAAGATTACTGACCAACACCAACAGCGAAAACAACAACAGACAACAATCAGCCAGCATAACTGGGAGGAACCTGAAAAAAAAACAACCTTCCTCACCTACCCACCTACCTACCTGGGAAGCATTGTTTCAACTACAGGCTGACGGAACTGATGACGATATAAAAGTGAGAATCCGGAAGGCAAGGCAAGCTTTCATTACTCTCAAGTCTGTGTGGAAGTCAACAGCACTCAGCATGAAAAGTGGGATCCAGATTTTCAACTGTAATGTGAAGTCACTGTTAATATACGGATCAGAGATTTGGGCAGCGCGTCACGAAGAGCACACTTCGAACAAACTGCAAACCTTCATCAACAGCTGTCTTTGCTCGATACTTCGCTCAAGATCAGATGACCCACCGGAAAAGATCAGCAATAGGGATCTCTGGCAATGAGCGAACCAACCCAGTAGGAACCGATTGTGCAACAAATAAGCAGGAAGAAATGGAGGTAGATTGGCTAGCCATACTCTGAGGAAACAAACCATCAAATGACATCACTAGACAAGCCATCGCTCGAGTGGAATCCAAATGGTAAGCGACCAGTGGGTCGTCAATGCGAGGGTTACACGGAGGACATCGTGTGAGGAAGTGATGAGACAGTTTGATCAGTTGTATGGCTAGCAAGCTGAAGAGGATGGCAAAACAGAACAGAACAAAGTGGAGATGTACTGCTTAAGCCAGCCCTATGTTCCACTCAGAACGCAATGGAATAATGATAATAATAATAATAATATGAAGTTTGGTAAGGTGGTCAGTTAGATAATAATATCATTTTCTGTGTCAACAATGCTTATCCTTGCCTGATATCCAATCAATTCTCACTATTCTTCGTTCTTATTTTTCTATTCTTGTCCTCCTAATCAGGGTATGAATTACATAGCTGCAGTGCTTCTACTGGTTCTTGATTGTCCTGCAGACGAAGCTGAAGTCAAAGCATTTTGGTTATTGGATGCTTTGGTTAATCATATTCTACCAAAGTATTATTCATCTGATATGATGGCTGTACGCGTCGACTGTATGGTATTCAATGAGCTATTAAGGTAAGTTAGAAGATAATATCTTTTAGCTGTTGTTGACTAGCAATAGAGTCCAGTTGACGAGCTTTTCATCCCGCTAGGGACTAGTTATCTGGACGTACCTAGATCTTCCATGAATAACAGTGTTCCCATTAACACTTGAATGCAGCTCCAGTCGTTTCACACGCCAATGCGTTATTCACTGAGACATTATAGTCACCTGCTGTGTGATTCTCGTTTCTTTGATTTTTTCGTACGAACATATTCGGTATGGGTGTGTGTGTGTGCCTGTGTTGACACGCTAGGTCCTAGTGTGGACGCTTCGATTCTCTCTGGGTACTTCATCACTTCCTGCATCTAGACGATCTCATCTAGGATGGAACGCGAACGCCGGTAGCCACACTGTTAGTGATTGTCAGTCAAGTAACATCAGAAATCGTCGAAGTGTTCGCGTCAGAATCCGGCATTTTAACAGAGACTTGGCATTTCAGCCCTATAGGATTCAATCATCAGGAAATTCAAAATAATAACTTCAAACGAACATGTCAGCTGATGATTAGGAGAGCTTTGTGTGCTTTTTGGGTGACTGTTAATCCCACGGCTACCTACACGGTGGAAGTTGATTTTCTCTGAGTATTGTGACCACAGATCCCAGGGAACAACTGCCTGTGGCCGGCCATACATGTACAACTTGAATTAGTGTTTGCAGTTTTGTCCGTATTTAGAACGTACTTCTGGCTGCAAGTTAAAATAGCTAGATATTCATTTCGTGGACCGTAGTTACTGTTTGAAATTCTTCAATGGTATATGATAAGTGGCTGACGTTTCATTCTCAAACCCCAGGTGGTTAGTTCAGGGGAGAATGATAGTTTGGTAAGTAAAAGTGAAATCAGCTGTTCAATGGGCAGTTGCTATGGGAGATCATATTTTTTTTCATCAAAATCCATTATTTAGCTGGGATTCGCACCACTCAGGGCATTATTGTTACTGTTCCCTTGTGTTCCGAGTGGAATATAAGGGACTTCAACAGCACGTCTCCATTTTATCCTATTTTCTGTGGTCCTCTTAAGCTGCCCCCAAGTTCTCTCATAGTCTGTCATCTCCCCTTCGAAAGATCACTCTCGCATTGACGACCCACTCGTTGCTCCCCATGTGGGTTCCACTCGAGGGCCTAGTGTGCGATTTCATTCAGCGGCCTCCTCAGTGTATGCCCAATCCAGCTCCACTTTCTCCTACATATTTGTTGAACGATCGGCTCTTGCTTGTTTTTTTGTTCCCATAGTTTTTCTTGTCGCGTATTCTTTCTGGCTGACCGTTTGATCTTCAGTATGGAGTAGTCACCCAGCGGAGGGGGCAGTTGTTGATAAAAGTCGGTAACTTGTTAGAAATCCTTTTCTTGGCAAGCACTCCAAGTGCCTGACCCGTATAGAAGAACCGACTTCACATTGGTGTTGAAAATGCAAATTTTGTTCCTTATTTTATCTTATTTTTTATTTACAGCTTGATTCCACACCGCATTTTTGGTATAGGTATGGAATTTTCAGCATATGATATCGGTAGCCCAAATTTTGCGGGCCGACCATAAATATCAGGTGTGCGTTGGCAGGGGATCGAACCCTAGACCATGTGGATGGTAGGCGAGAGTCCTAACCACTGTGCCACCGGCGCACAGTTAGTGCAGAAGATTTACAAACTAGTTTCAGGTTCAATGATGAAGGCGTATTTTGTCTTTCCGATTCTGGCTGGCTGACTTTGTCATATTCGTCAATTCCACTGGCCTGTAGCTGAAACAATGCTGCTTTTGTGGCCAGATGAGTGAGGGAGGCAACCTCTGTTAAATCTCTCCCGTTGATGGGGATTGGTGCTGGCTGTTATTGTTGCTGTTGGAATTTTTGATTATCTTCATCACCTCTGCCTTTTCTGTGTTTACCTGGAGTCGTGTTTTCGCTTCTTCTTCTTCTGCTGATAGTTTGTTGGTTTTTGCCTGCAAGTCTTTGGAGTTTGTATGACATCAGACACAAATCATCTGTGAAATCCAGATATTCCAGAGTCTTCTTATCAGTCATCCAGCGTACTCCTGACTCATCGCCCCCCAACTGTCTGACGCATAATATCCAGTCCACCACAATTAGGAATATCATCGGTGTTCGTAATCAGACATTCTTGTTGTTTTACACAGGGCATGAACAGTATTAGTAATCGGATTTTTGGGTAGGTGAACGTTCAGACGTCGAACTAAACAGCATTAAAGACATTTTCTCATAAACTGTCAAAAAAGCTGTAATGGCTATGTACGTAAGCTCTATTACTCACTACGGAAACTGACTAGATTAAAGTATAATACTTTTTTAAAAGAAAATGAGTATCTGCTCTCCAAAGCTGCGTGTGGTCTCACTCATATTGTGAAATGTTTCAAGTTTTTCACTCACATATATGTATACTAACATCTATCATGTGGTGTACAAGCAAGCATGTGTGTGTGTTCCTCTTTCACTGGAAGTGGAGTTCTTGGTGAGTGGTAATTCTGAAAAACTAATGACACTAGTATATATGCTGCTGTGTAATAAGTATATGACACACATATACATAGCCAGTCAAATTTTGAAGTGATGAACCACTCACCATTACCTTTCATCTCATGCAATCTAGGCAGCTGAGATTTCTGTCATATGTTTCTCTATACCATTAAGTGTGTGTTGCTCATAATAATATAATGTAAAAACTTGTAACAGATCTTTCTAATCATTTACAGTTTATTCAAAAGAAACGCGTTTTTTTTTTCATGAATTTGGAATTCAGTCCTGAATGTGTTCATGAAGAGCTACCTTTAAACGCTTTAACAAAGGGACAAAGGAGGAGAATGAATGATTCTCGAATTGAAAAACTGTTTATTGGTTTTCATTATTCAGTGGCTTTTGGTGGTTGGTAGTGGCCAGCAGTGATAACTGTCCTGTTTACAACTCGTCTGGAGAATGTACCTACATCCTCCTCAGCCTGTGATGATGTCACAATTGAGACTTGTAACTAGTGTGCCCATCTTTCCAAACAGCCACAACATCATCTACCTCTTGTGTTACCTGGATCAGTTTTCAATTGTGAAAATATTACTGTTTAAATTTCTCGTTGATCTGTTTTATTGGGTCGAAATACTCTGTCTGTCTGTTTTCAACATAGAACGTTGCACCGATCCACACCAGTTCAAGTCGCCATATTCCACTCCTTGTAGCATACAAAGCAACAGAAGAAAGTAGAAGAAATGCATAATAGAGACAATAAACAGAGGTGTAAGACAAAGGAATAGTAATGACCAATAACAATATAGTTTCATTGGAAATCATAAATCGCAAGGAGTGGATGCATCCAAGCCAGCCATTGAGAACAATTTTGAGCCATATCACCCATTGTTTCCAGCCATTGGTTTTTACCGTCCCGAGGACCCCAACCAGTCAGGAAGTCTGCACCTTCCTACGTGGCTGGCTTAAACTAACTGTTGTGGATTTCATTGACTGGTGCCAAGTTTTGGTTTGACTACCACTAGCTCTTTTCCAGCCTGACCCTATATAAGCTAACATTGCCCTTTGTCGAGGAAGGCATGCATACGTAACACATGTCCTAACCATCTCAATCGGTATAACTTCACTGCCTCGTCGATCGATTTCCCCACCTTAGCTCAGTGCAAGTAGAGGAAGCTTCGATGATATCTGAAGGTTTTTAATTAACCACTAATGCTTACTTTTTATCTCTCGTAGTGATTGTTGTAGTATAATGGGTAATATAGAAGATAGGCGTAGATAATGAGGTTACATCGATTGAGATGGCTAAGGCGGGGTATCACACATTTCATTCATAACATTTCTCACTGAGCATTATTAACTGACATAGGATATTAGCCTGTGAAAGACTTATAGGTGGTAAATGTCTGTCTGTCTCTGTCTGTCTGGATTCAACATAGAACTTGGCACCGAAGTGCAGCAGTTCGAGTTGCCACGTTCCAAATAGCACACAGAGGTAGACAAGAAGATGAGTGAAGAGAATCAATAGAGTTTGACAAGTATAAGAGTGAAACAGAATGGGTAATGGTAGAAAGGAATATGAAAGATTACAGAGACTGAATACATCTGCGCTGGCCATTGACAACGATTTTGAGCCATGTCACCTATTGTCTCCAGCCATTGATTCCTAGAGTCCCGAGGGCCCCAACCCGGGAGTCTGCATCTCCCTACCTGACTCAGTTTAACTGTCAAGGATTTCATGGATTGATGCCATGTTTTTGTTTGGCCACCACTGGCTCTTTTCCAACCTGAACCTATATCAGCTAGCAATGCCCGTCGGGGGAGGCGGTGGTTAGGCATGCGCACCACGTGACCTAGCCATCTTAGTCTATGTAACTTTATAGCCTCGTCGATTGATTTTCCCTCTTTGCCCAACACTCTACGCCTAACGTCAACATTACTTATCTTGTGAAACCACCTAACGTGAGACAGAGATCGCAGACATCTATGATCGAAAGCAGTCAACCTTTTCATGTCTTCAACGCGTATTGGCCATGTTTCAGAGCCATAGAGAAGGACGGAGCGAACTGATGAGCAGTACACACGTCCCTTGGTTGATAACCGGATGTCACGCCTACGCCAGAGATGGTGTAAGTCAGCGAAAGCAGCTCGAGCTTTTCGGATCCGTGCTGAGATTTCATCGCCAATCAGTCCGTTGGTGCTAATACAACTTCCCAAATAGGTGAAGTGGTCAACATGTTCTATCACTTCACTCCCTATCACTAAGTTAGGGTTGACGTGTCCAGTCCTGTAGCAGCATCTTACATTTTGCAGGGGCGAATCGCATGCCAAACATACGAAGATTGCTGCTCAAGGTGTTCAGAAGACTCTGCATTTTGTCAGCATCCTCCCCTAACAGGACTATGTCATCTGCATATTCTAAGTCCATAAGACTATTCCCTGGTAACAAGTCGATTCCTAAGTCATTACGTTCAGTTAAGGATACTTCCATCAGCATATCTATGATGAAGTTAAACAGAAATGGGGAAAGTGGACATCCCTGTCGGACACCACTGGTTGTTACCAATTCAGATGACAATTCCCCATAAGCCCTTACACGACTACGTGAGTTTGAATAGAGTGCCTTGATTAGTGCAATGTACTTTCTTGGCACTCCCTTCACAGTCAGACATTGCCATAGTACCTTTCGATCCACGGAGTCGAAGGCCGCCTTCAAGTCAAGAAATATGACAATTGTTGGACGCCGAAAAGTGTGTCTATGTTCTAGAATCTGTCGAAGAGTGAAGATATGATCTATGCACCCTCTACCTGGTCTAAAGCCTGCTTGATTTTCCCTTGTCTGTTCCTCCCGAGTTCTGCTTAGTCTATGCATGATTACTGAGCCTAGGATTTTAGAGACTATGTTCGTTAGGCTGATCCCCCTATGATTATCACACGAGGACTTGTTTCCCTTCTTGAATATCGGTATAATAAGTGACTTACCCCAGTCTGATGGTACTGTCTCTGATTCCCAGACTTTGCCTAGTACCTCAGTTAATCTACAAACTAGTATGTCACCCCCATATTTAAACACCTCCGGAATAATTCCGTCGGGTCCTGCCGCTTTGCCTCGTTTCAAATTACTGATAGCTTTTGTGACCTCACTTACAGACGGCGGACCAGTGTCTATATCCCATTCGGGTGTGGTGGATGGGGGAGGTTCAGTGTGGCTGTAGGCAAGTTAAATTGTCCCTCAAAGTGTTCTTTCCAGCGTTCAAGGCGTCTATCCTGAGAGCTAATTAAGGAGCCATTTTTCTCAGAAATAGTCTCACTTATGATTTGCCTTCTCCCACCCGATTCTGTGATGAGTCTAAAGAGTTGCCTAGTGTTGCCTATCGCCGATGCTTTTTCCATCTCTTTCGCCTTTGTCACCACCACTGTTCACGGTCCTTGCGGAGACTTTTAGTAAGTTTCCTTTTGTGCAGCTTTCGCTCCTCATTGAATTCGGAGCTCGCCGGAATAAGTCTTCTAGCATCTATCAGTTCGGATGAGGCAGTCGAAATCCAGTGGTTTTTACTCACCTTTGGATTTATCTTATTTACAGCTGTATCTATGGCTGACTGAATATTCTTCCAGGCTTCTCCAGGGTGAGCACAGCTGTCGAACCAGATATGTGTTTAGCTAGTTCTTCCTCAAATAGGGATTTAGTTTCCTGATCGAGCTGGGGACGTGATGGTTTTACCGCCAGCTGTTTCCTACGTCCGTTCAGTCGTAAGCACACACGAGCCCGGACCAGTGCGTGATCGGTATCTACACACGTGTTCCAGAAGGAGCGACAATCTCCTACCGACCCACGCCAACGATAGCTTATTGCTATGTGGTCTATTTGTGTCCAGCGTTGGTTTGATGATGGGGGTCGCCAGGTTAAACAGTGTCTCTCCTTGTGTTTAAAGTTAGTGCTTACAAGAAACAAATGATTATCTGAAGAGAACTGTAGGAGACGGTCACCGTTGTCGGTTCGCTGGCACGGAACTCCATAGGTGCCACCGACATCCTTCTCAGATTGACACAATTTCCCTACTTGAGCATTAAAGTCACCAGCTAGAACGACTATATCTGAGCGTTTAGCCTTTCTCACCAAACTAGACAGCTTTTGGTAGAACTCATCCTTCGTTTCATCCGAACTGCAGTCAGTGGGGGCGTAGGCGGAGATTACGAAAAGGCATCGGCGAGTAGTGCAGTCCTTTCTCCTTCTTACTGATCCGTTCAGACGGACAGCACACATTCGGCTATCTACTGGGATCCAGTCAAGCAATGTCTTTTCTGCCCTAGTACTCAAGCTATCCCTACGCCAGCTAATCCTCGTGAACTAGCTGTGGCATCTCCTGACACCCTCAAGGTGAATTTTGAAGATTCATCCTGTTGGCCAGGTGGGGTTAGGTGAATAACCACACTTGGGTCTTGTATGCGTGTTTCTGAAACACAACATACATCAATGGCTCGAGATGCCAGGGTCTTAGCTAGTGATGCTTGTTGTCCTATTTGGCAAAGTGTCCTAACATTAAATGCTCCTATATGAAATTGGTGGCGTGGCTTTAGGAGACTATCGGTGGTGGTTTTTTGGCTTCCGTCGTTTTTAGTGGACACAGAGTGAAGAGGGAGTGAGGAGCCATCAAGTAGAGGAGTTGCATCAGTGGGAGGAAGGCAAGGTAATAGAGATGAAGATGAAGACAAAGATAAGTGAGGATTAGAGAGGTTTTGTGTGCATTTCGGATTGTGAGGGCGTTTGTTACTTCCCGGCTGCCCACACCGTGGAAGTTGGTTGCGTGACCGCAGAGCCCAGGGGACAACTGCTTGAGGCCGGTCACACGCGGCCTGTTTTTGTTTGTTCTCTTTTGTTTGGTGTGTCTCAGTAGCATACTTATCACTCCTGCCCTGTGACACGGCAGCAGGAAGCGCGGTCGTTGTTAATCCGGGCCACGGCCGATCCGGCATGAAATTTTGTGAATTTGTTTGAATCATGGTATTGGATGGGGTAGCTGCTTTTTGTTTAACCGCTATCCAAACAACCTGCCTGGCATGGTAGAACCTCAAGAGACATAAGTCTCAGCCAGTATAGCTTGATTAGGTCATTGCGGTGTTCAAGCCCGACCACCACGTCAAGGTAGCAGCTTTCGGTCGGGGTAAATTCAAAACGCATGTATCAGCAGTCGATGGATTTTTGTGACAGTTGGTAAGGGCCGCCTAGAGCGGTTTGGATCCACAGGATCCCAAGATCCAATGACTTGAGACTGTTGGTGATGTAACTCAACCTTGTTCTCAAAGATAGGTGTAAACGCACTCACTCTTTGGAATCTCCAGATCCGTAAGGTGGCACAGAGGTTAGGACTCTCGTACATGGTCCGGAGTTCGATCTTCCGCCGACGCACACCCGATATCTTTGGTCGGCCTGCAAAATTTGGGCTACCGACATCACATGCTGAAAAAATTCCATACCTGTACAGAAAATACGGTGTGGAATCAAGCTGTAATCAAAAATAAATAAAAATCAAAAATAAAATAAGGTCCTCTTAACCCGCCTTCTAGTTATTCTTTCTCTGTGTACCTTCTTGGTCACTCTATAAAGTTCTCTTGATTTTATAATTTTTACGTTTATGTGCTTCATGGAGTGTACCAACTTGAACTTGTGTGCAAATTTCTACACATTGAAACTCAGTCAGTCAATGTTATTTGTTCGAAGGTGAGCGGCGGTGCAATGTAGCACTTGTGTTTCGTCCTGTTTGTGACTCGTTGACTAGATGTACATGCATCCTTAGTAAGTGATGGTGTTTCCATTGAGCCTGAAACCCAGAACCTATTATGTTTAATCTAAGAACTATAGGTGAAATTTTCAAGTATTGGTTTTTGTAAGGACTATGATTGATTGCTTTGAGAATTTCATCATGAGCTGACATTACTTCCCGACCGATAGCTGCTACCCTGACGTGGTGGTCGGGCTTGCACCTCACGATGACCCAACAAGCTACACTGGCTGGAACAAATGTTCCTGCAGGTCCTACCATGCCAGGAAGGTTGTTAGGATAGCGATTAGACTAAAAGCAGTTACCGACATAGTGTAGGAATTTTTCTTACACTTTACTGGGGGTCTGAGGGTGAAGTCGTACTGCTGGGGAACAGGGGTGTAACAGCAGTGAGGTGTTTCCGTCAGATGACCAGCATGCCAGCCAACTATGCTGTCTGTCCACTCCGGAGAGAGGGGGTTAGAAAAGGTCGACTCCAAAAATTGCACATCCCGACTTACCCTATGGTGGTCAGTAACCGGCGTTAAGTTTACTAATACGGAACCAGTCCCAGAAACCAGTTCATACAGGCCGTGTGTGACCGGCTGGCGTCAAGCAGTTGTCCCCTGGGCTCTACGATCACGCAACACTAATTCTCTTTCTGTTTTAGGTACCCTAAGGATCAATCAACTTCCACGGTGTGGGTAGCCGGGAAGTAACAACCGCCCACACACTTCCAAAAGCATATGAAACCTTCCTGAGCATCATTCTCCTTTACTCTGACATTAGTTAGAGAACCACTGGAAAACGTGAGTGTACTGGACTGCTGTTTCGTCCTAGTCTGGGACTCCTCATCAGTAGCCTATGAATTCTACCTTCTCCAAATTCATGACATAGCGCGACCACCTTGCAATGTCTTCTTCGATGGGTTACTGCCTCACCTTCAACTTGCTGCTGTTGGATCGGGTCCCGGTGATTTAACGTTCTACGAGCTAGCTCGCCTTGTAACCAGAAGGCCCTGAGCTCAAACGGTGGCGGTGGGTGTGTAATGCTGAAGAATCCCAAACTAGGCTGACGAAACAGCTGTCCATTACTCCCAGATTCTCCAGTGGTTCTCTGACTGATGTCAGCTCATGATGAAATCCTTTCAACCAACTATCATTGAAGTTTTGTACAGCCGCAAAATTTATTTATCTTTGTCGCTTCCTAGTTTGATTAAATTTATTCTAACTTAATCTTTTCTTTTTGGCTTTTGTGTTTAGAGAGAAAATCCCCATGGTGCATAAAGTCATCATGAATTCAGGTATCAGTTGTACATTGTTGGCTACAAAATGGTTTATCTGCTTGTTCGCTGATGTTCTACCAATTGAAGTAAGCTTATGTTTCTGTGGATTAATCTATGCCTTTTAATGCAAATTTCTACGGAACACTAGTATTGTGTAGCTGAGATACCATGAAATGACGACCACCAATTACGTCAACGTTTATTTGACTAACTTGAGGTGATCTTGGATAGTCTGGTCTATTCGCTCGTCTATTTCTAATTCCTTTAATGATTAGAGTTGAGATGGCAAGATTGGGGTTGAAAGTTTCTGTATTTTATTTCTATAATTCGTTTAACTTGACTTCCTAGTGGAACATAAAACCAGCCGTAGTCGGCGGACATCTCTATTCCATCCATTACTTTAAGATGGTTCTACGACTGAAATGAACAAGAAGTTCAGCAAAGATGTTGATCTTTTCGGTGATTTCATTCTCAAAAGCTGTACAATCGCATTTATATACATCAGTTTACATGGATACAATTATTACGTATTCACTTCCGTCTAGTATGAAGGCGATAATAATTTTCAACTTGATATGAAAATTTGTAGGTACGAATAAAGATTACAAGCGGCTTAGAGACAAGATTGCATAGGATTAGAAAACAGTTACAACGTTTGCAAAATTAATATTTTGATAACTGGAAAAATAATTTTAAAGGCGAATGAAAGGTGATAATTATTTTCAACTTGATATGAATTACAAAAGGCTTAGAGATACAGGGATAGAACGAATTACAGTTGTGAACAAAATGAGCATGGAAACTAACTGAAATCAAAATTTTCAACTGGAAATGTTAGTTGGGTGATGTGTGTGTGTGTGTGTGTGAATATAGATTACAAGAGGCATAGAAACAAAAAAATTACACAGGATTAAAATATAATTGTAAAATGGTTATTTTAAAGGGATTACTGGTGTGATCAGGAGGAGCATGGAAACAAGCTTAAAATAACTGATTTTATAACTGAGAAAAAATGGGATGAATTGAATGAAGACAAAGGGAGAAAATTACACACACAGAGAACAAAACAAAAAAAATCTGAAGGATAAGGGAACATGGCGAACTAGGTCCATGGTAGTTGTAAAGGCTGGACTAGTTTCTTTTGAACACGCAACTCCGGCTTTTCGATGCATATGGCGAGAGCTTCCGTGGTACAAAGAAGTCGGAAACACACTGCTTTCGGTAGATTTTTTTAAATTTTGTAAATGACTCTGAATGATGAATCAGTTGAGATTCTGTGACAGGTATTGACGAGGTGTTCAGTTATTGCGCTTCTGACTGAACCAGTGCCTCCTCTTTGCAGCCATGCTTGATGATGTTCTCTAACACGTTTTGATAAGACCTATGTACCTAGTTCCGTAAGAGCAGGTGAACTGATATATGCACACTGAAGTGGTCATATGCGGAAGTCTGTCCTTCCCGTTGCCCTGAAGTAGTGGGCGGCTAGAGAATATCACTCAGAGTTGCTGACGGTTCTACGACTGCCTGCAAGCTTTGATTGCCTCCTCTTTAGATGATCTCCTCCATGTTTAACTTGCTGCTGTCCCCATTTGGGTTCCATTCGACGACCTTCCGCATGTGTGTGTGTGTGATGTCATTTGAAGGTTACAATTTGTGTGTGTTATTGATAATTAGATGGACACCTAACTGGTTACATATTTACCCTAGGCATTCGGGTAAACCATACTTAACAGTTGCAGTGAAATGAAGTCCTGGTTAGTAGGTAGGTGTTTATCACATCTCATCTGGGAGACTGTGTCCAGCTTGTATAAATGCTCAAAACTTTATACTACTTATTGATTGATTGATAAGTAGTAGTTGTATGTCACTAAGACTAACCACTGGGTGCTAGCCAGCCAGATCGGAATGATCTAAACAGCGGGCTGCCATTTTGCTCGTTTGGGGCCGAGATCATGGGGCCGGCTGAACGCAGTTCAAAATAGCCGAGGTTCGGTCAGCTACTTGAGTGAACTAGTCCACTGCGGATTACCTCCATGCAAAAGAGCAAGACGACCGTCTGGTGGTTAGGTGACTTTGATCTGGCTGGTAAGCCCTACTGGCTGATGTGAGTGGTATTCAACGACTTATATCAACCAATCAGCAGTATGTACGGTAGTTGTACGCATTTACGCTTGCCTTTTTCGATTGTCACCGATGGTATCAAGCTGATGATTACACATTGTCATCTGAATAATTTTGTTTCCCAAAGAAAACTGTGGTGAAATCTCACCCTATAAGTTGCATATTAATTTGCGAATTGCAAATTTGATTTACGCCAGACTCGTAACCTTGGAGGTCGATGGTCTAAATTGTTCTACAAACTGATGTTTTGACTCAATCTTCAATTGAACATAGTCCACTGGATTAATGCTGTTATTAACGTTACAGTAAGAGGAGCATCATTTGATGACTATATTAAGACGATACTTGTAGATGGAACCAATTAAGTTGGTTTTTATCTACTTTGCAACATAATTCGTCGTTTGTATGCAGAGACACAAGTTGATTCCAAACATTGCTGTTACCTCACCTTTTTTGAAAGTTATGAAAAGATTTATTTTACTTAATCTTGAACCCTCTTTAAAACCTTTCAATGACCTAAACCAGTTTGCCTATAAACATAGTAGGTTTACCCTTGACGCTGCTGTTGTCCTACATCGTAGTATAGTCTCTAGTTTAAATAGAGCAGCTGAATACGTTCGGTGTGTATTCCTTGATTACACGTCTGCATTTGACTCTGTACCCAGGTCTCTATTGCTAAGTAAGCTTGCTGCAACACTGGCTGAGAGCTGGACAAATAAGTGGCTGCATTCCTATTTTTCTGATAGGAAGCAGTACACCGTCTACAATGGAAAGCCCTACACTACGTCACTTACTTTAGCTGGTGTTCTTCAAGGTGCTGTTCTTTCTCCTGTTCTGTTTTCTTTTTACTTACATGACTTGCCTCATTCTGATGTAGCCACTTTTGTTAAGTATGCTGATGAACTCTCTGTTTCTATGCCTGTCAACTCTCAGTCAGATTGTTCCAAATTAAATAATTTTCTGTCGGAAATTAGTCAGTGGTCCTCTTCAAACGGTCTTAAGCTAAATCCATCTAAATGTCTGGTAGTCAATTTCACTTTCAGACGAAAACGTGACCTACAACAACTTGTTAGCTCACATGGCCCCACTATCATTGATGGCATAGAGGTTGAAAATACATCTAATGTCAAGTACTTTGGTCTGAGGTTTTCCACTGATCTTTCCTGATTCTCCCACATCTTGCTAGTTACTAGAAAGATGTTTCGCTTAACGTTCTACGTTAGGAAATTTAGGCAGTCTAGCATAAAGCAGTCTTTGCTTTCTTAGTTTGTCAATTCTTGCATTCTACCCATCCCCCTTTACTGCTCCCCATTAATCATTCCTGGACTACTTAAGAAAAACTTTGCTTTGCTGAGTAGGGCACTAAAAGCCGTTAGTAGGGTAAGTGGGATATCGTTAAACCAACTGGTTAACACTATTGTTGATAGACATATAATGTCATGTAAGAAACTAGCGAATACAATATTGTCAGACCCCGAGGATCCCCTCTATACGCAGCTGTCTCCTTGCATTTCATCTGGTAGAACTAGAAGCAGCTATAGGAGGCTGGTTATATGCTAGGACTACCAAATACAAAAACTCCACAATACCATATCTGGCACAGCTGTTATGTGATGAGAAATCCGTTAGGTATGACACGATCAACTTATTGAGGCACTCTAACAAATAGTCCCATTAGTTTTTGTTTTCCTGTCTTCGTTAATATTACACTGTTGTTCACATCCTCTATAACACTCTATTCATATCCTGTGGTGCATTGTTTAAAAAGTGTAAACTCAACACTGTTCTTTTAATTTTTTTATTTATCTTTCTTTTTTGGGTGTTGCTTTTTGATTTTTAAATCTTATAAAATTTATGAGGTGATTAGATGCAATATATTGTAATGCACGCTGAAAATTCCATACCTGTACTATAAATACTGTTTGGAATAAAGCTGTTATTATTATTATTGTTATCATTATTATTAATCTGGTCTTCAGAATCTGCAACTGAATTGTCTTTAATCCCATTCACTTCTTTATTATTATTATCGAATTCATTCTCTACTTCTCAACACCTTGAGCTGCAATTTTTGAATGTTTGGCTTACTGTTCGCTCTTATCGTCAAATGTAAGGTGATGCTACAGGACTGGACTAAATCAACGCCTAGCTTGAAGATAGGGAGTGAAGTGGTGGCTGAGCGAGTAGAGCACTTCACTTATTTGGAAAGTTACGTCAGCCCCAACGGGCTGATCGCCGACAAAATCTCAACACGGATACAAAACGCAAGTTTGGCATTTGTCAACCTACATCATTTCTGGCGTAGACGTGATATCCGACCGGCTATTGACCAGAGGATGTGTGCACTAATCAAGCAGTTCACTACATTCTCCTTTATAGCTATGAGTGAGACATGGTCATTGAAAACAGAAGAAATGAAAAGCCTGACTAGCTATCTTTGATCAAAGGTGTTTATATTCTATCTCCCTCGTTAGGTCCCGACCGATAGCTGCTACCCTGACGTGGTGGTCGGGCTTGCACCTCACGATGACCCAACAAGCTCCACTGGCTGGAACAAATGTTCCTGCAGGTCCTACCATGCCAGGAAGGTTGTTAGGATAGCGATTAGACTAAAAGCAGTTACCGACATAGTGTAGGAATTTTTCTTACACTTTACTGGGGTCTGAGGGTGAAGTCGTACTGCTGGGGAACAGGGGTGTAACAGCAGTGAGGTGTTTCCGTCAGATGACCAGCATGCCAGCCAACTATGCTGTCTGTCCACTCCGGAGAGAGGGGGTTAGAAAAGGTCGACTCCAAAAATTGCACATCCCGACTTACCCTATGGTGGTCAGTAACCGGCGTTAAGTTTACTAATACGGAACCAGTCCCAGAAACCAGTTCATACAGGCCGTGTGTGACCGGCTGGCGTCAAGCAGTTGTCCCCTGGGCTCTACGGTCACGCAATACTAATCCTCTTTCTGTTTTA